GGGAGGAGTGGGGGAGGTACGGCAGAGTGGTGGTGGGTGGCCCGGGGGGGGGTGGGAGAGGGTCCGGCCCACACTGCGCCTGGGCTGGGACTGGTCCCGCTGGCACAGGTTAGCAGGAAGCTCTCCACACACTCGAGCTATTTATGTCTAGTTTTTTTTTTTCTAGTAAACATTTTCAGATGTCCAGCAATGCATAAGTGTTGCAAATATTTTATGAACACTTAAAGGGTATCCTTGGCCTCCTTCATCTTAGACATTCTAGGGGTGTCTAGTGGTCTCTCATTGTGCCTACCTTCATTTCTCTGGTCACCAACAAAAGTGAATGTTTCAATTACTGACTGCTTGCTGCTTAAGCAGACACAATCCCCAGACCTGCTGTGCTGCCCCCTCCCCCCAGCACTGCCGTGCAGGCCGACACACACACACACACACACACACACACACACACACACACTGAGACTGGGCGTGGTGGCACACATCTGTAATACCAGCACTCGGGAGGCTGTAAACAGGAGGATCACTATGAGTCCAATCTACCCAGTGAGACCCTGTACACCCTGTCCTAAATATATAAAAAAATAAATAAAAATATTGACTTGGATAGTCTCTTTTGTCTTTTTCCAATTATTGATCATTTGGATATTCTTTTATAAAGCATTTATTCAAGTACCTTGTCTAACTGGGCTTTCTGTGTTTTTCCACAGGAGTTCCTTCTGTTCTCCGGCGCTGGTTTCGGACTATCGTCTACAGCAGAATCCCCCAAGGGCTGTGAAAACAGACTACAGGTTCCTCACTCAGTAGATCTGGGTGAGGCAAAAGAATATGCATTTTTATTAAGCTCCTGTGTGATGCTGCCGGCCTAGGTACTGCACTGTAAGAGCACACATTCTAGAGTGCTGTCAATGCAGCCCCTATGGACAGTTCTTGTTAGCTTGGGACAACACCCTGCTAAAAACCCAAACCTCACTTATCCAACATTTGTTGGAGCCTAGGGCAGAAGCTAAGACACTCTCTTTTCTAAGCAAGGGAGTGACTGGATCCTTTCAACAGCCACCTCTCAGTCTGTCTGCAACCCACACATTTGCTTAGAACATTTGATACACCTAAGCAGCCAGGAGAACCAACAGATAACAAAAGGGGTTTTTTTTGTTTGTTCTTTTGTGATCTCAGGAAAACCAGTGGCTCTCATCAGCGTGGCCATGAGTCAGTAATCCCTCTAAGAAGAAAAACACGGATCTCTGAACGGAGATGAAAACCGCCATTTATTTCAACTGAATTGCGTTTCATTAAAAATCCTGTGATGACATTTAAACAGAAATGAAACAGAAACATATTTATAGCACTGCCTTTGATCTCAACAGACCAAATAAACATATATACATTTAAAACATTTCTAGTGTTTAAACAGACCTCTTTATCATCACTGCTGTCATTTCAGTCTTTTGAAATACTAAGCGTAACTATTAATAAACAATTTAGTGTGCGTGATTTATTGGACTAAACATTAATCACAGACTTCTGAACACAGGGAG